ATTGATGTTTCTATCTCTCTCTCTCTCTCTCTCCCTCTCCCTTCCTCTCTGAAATCAATAAAAATATATTTAAAAAATAAAAAAAGTTGCTAAGAGAACAGATCATGAAGGTTCTCATAAGGAAAGACCGTAACCGCACGAGGTGTGGGTGACAGGCAGACCGACGGTGCGGGCGTCCCACAGGCAGACACACATCCTGTGGGCACCCAACACTGACGCAACGTCGCAGGTCAGTCTTACCCCAATGAAATGGAGAAAAGGAGAAAAATTAAGATTAAATAAAAACTAGTGCTTATTTGGAATTTTTTTTTAAAAAGCCCTAGATGGCCGAAACCGGTTTGGCTCAGTGGATAGAGCGTTGGCCTGCGGACTGAAAGGTTCCAGGTTCGATTCCGGTCAGGGGCATGTACCTGGGTTGCGGGCACATCCCCGGTGGGGGATGTGCAGGAGGCGGCTGATCGATGTTTCTCTCTCATCGATGTTTCTGACTCTCTATCTCTGTCCCTTCCTCTCTGTAAAAAATCAATAAAATATATTTTTTAAAAAAAGCCCTAGATGACTTGGTTCAGTGGTTAGAGTGTCGACCTGGGGACTGAAGGGTCCCGGGTTCGATTCTGGTCAAGGGCACGGACCTCGGTTGCAGGCTTAATCCCCAGCCCCAGTCAGGGCACGTGCGGGAGGCAACTGATCCATGTGTGTCTCTCACATCAATGTTTCTCTCCCTCTCCCCATCCCACACTCTCCCTCTCTCCCTCTCTTAACAAATCAATGGAAAAACTATCCTCGGGTGAGGATTAACAATAAAGAGAAAAAGAAAGGGAGGGAGGGAGGGTGGGAGGGAGGAACCCCCAGCCCCGATGTCACTGGGGACCCTGAGAACCCGTGGCCATTCCATCCACACGAGGGAGGGGCTTGGTTCCCAGCAGGGGGGGCAAGACCCTTGCATGGCATCATTCATTCATTCATTCATTCACTCAGTCAACAGGTATGTGCTGAGCACGTGCGGACGGCTGGAGACGCCGTGGGAGCGAACGCGGCTCACTCCCAGCTCATGGCGCAGCGAGAAAGCCCTGGAAAGCACGGTGGACCGTGGATGCCGCACACGCGTGCACTCGGAACCCAGTCACTGTGCGCGCCCCAAGCCCGTGCCTCCGGGAGGCCCGCTGAGGCCCTGGCCACGCTCACCCCCAGTCTCCAGGTCGTGGAAATTCGGGTCCAGGCCCCGGTCCAGCATCTTCACGATCTTCTCCACCGAGCGATGCTGAACGTAGTCCATGCATTTCCGCAGGTTGGCCTACGGGGGAGAAGGAAAAGCGAGAACGTCTCCACAAGAGACGCCGACAGAGGCCACGGGAAGGTCCTCACGGGGCGCCTCGGGCCTCCACCACGGAGGGGGAGCTGCCCCTGACCAGGGCCCCCTGCCGACCCCGGGGCTGGCCCAGCGACAGCTTTCTGCCGCAGATCCCAGGTGGAGCACGGAGCCCGCGCGTGGCTGCCGCAGCCGGCTTATCCTGGGTGCACCCTCCCCGTTCCGGTCCCTGCGGGGAGCCCGGGGACGACCGCTGTGTGGTTAGGTCGGGCGGGGAGACCTGCAGAGCCGCCCTGAGCTCAGAAGAAGATGCCGCAGGCGACAGTGCGGTGGCCGCCGAGCCCCTACCTTGGTGTGAAGCTTGGCCAGCTGCTTCTCGTCCAGATGGGACTGTTTGTACACCCGCTTCTTGTACCGAAACTGGCACAGAAACAGGGAAAAAAGAACCAGTGAGTATTTCCCCGGCTGCTCGAGGACCACCTTCTCCTCGCCAGTTCCCCGAGCACGGCTCCAAGCACCCTCCTGGGGTTACAGGAACGGCTGCATCGCACACGGGGCCCAGGACACGGGCAGGGAAGCACCGCAGAGAGCCCGCAGCCAGGGCTCAAGGCCCGGAAAAGAGACAAAGGCACCCCCACGGGCGGGGGAGCAGGGGGCCTCCGTGGGGAGCGGGCGCCTGTGCTGGGCGCTGCCCAGGAGCCACGACTCATTCCCGCAACCAGCAGCGCTTCCTTTGACCTGGAAGCTGCCTCCAGGAGCCGGAGCCTGTTCTGTGGAGACGAGGAACAGCGGGCGAGGGAGGCGCGGTGTGGCATCGGTGTGAGTGTCGGTGTCGGGTCCGGCGGCCTCCCGACCCCCAGGCCTCCCACCTCCTGCCTCTCCCGGGGCCCTGACCCCTTTCGGTCAGATGTGCCGGGGACGCTCCAGGCTTAGGAGGACCTGACCGCGTGGGAGGCACCACGTTCTGAGCTGCGACCTCTGCTCAACCCCAGCCACACGGCTCCTCGGACTGAGGAGATGTCTCCTGCGGCCCAGAGGCTACAGACCCCCAACCCCCCGGAATGGCTTGCGCTTGGGCTGCGATCCGCACGGAAACGAACGCGGTCACTTCACACTGGCGATGCGGTGTGAGAGGAGAAATGGCCGCACTGCTGGCTACCTGTGTGACGGCCCTCACACATGTGCAAACACTCCGTCCCCTCGGGGTAGCAGCCCGGGCTCAGAGAGGCAGGCCAGTGGGATTGGCATCCGGGACTGCAGGTCCCAGTGACGAGAGCCCGAGGGGGGCGTGCTGTGCGCACCCCAAGTCCCGCCCCACATGCCCATCAGATCTCCGTGGGAAACAAGCGCCCACGACCGCCCTCGGCAACCCCAGCAACGCCAGGTGCACCTCAGGGCCCGAGCTGGAACTTAACGGGGGCCTCCCGTCGGTACCTCCAGGGAAGGCACGCCCGTGCCCGCGGGCTGCGGGTACTCGCGCAGGAGCCGCTCCTCGTCCAGGAACTTGCCGTCGCGCCCGTTGCTGGCCGGCTGGAACAGCCCGTAGTTCAGCACGTCCTTCAGGCTCTGGTTCAGCGAGCACAGGATCCGCTGCTTCGCCACCCACACCGTGGCGTCGGGGTTGAAGCGAAGGCACTTCTGCGGGAGGACAGCGCCACGTGGTCGGTGACCCAGTGCCCCCGAGCGCCCGCCGGGCACGTGGCCAGAGACAGTGAAGGTGTTTCCGTCCAAGACGCACCCCTACCCCACCCCCGCTTCTCGGATGGACAGCAAGGCCCTCTTATTGCTGTGGGGTGAGGAGGGGAGACACCTGGTCACTGTAAACGGGAAACGCTGAGATGGAGACACTGGTTTCTGTGGCCTGGACCCTCACCGATGACCCTCACCAGTGACCCTCACCGATGACCCTCACCAATGACCCTCACCGATGACTCTCACCAATGACCCTCACCGATGACCTTCACCAAGACCCTCACCGATGACCCTCACCGATTACGCTCACCGATTACCCTCACCAAGGACCCTCATCGATGACCCTCACTGATGACCAATGACCCTCACCGATGACCTTCACCGATGACCCTCACCGATGACCCTCACCGATGACCTTCACTGAAGACCCTCACCGATGACCCTCACCGATTACCCTCATCGATGACCCTCACTGATGACCGATGACCCTCACCGATGACCTTCACCGATGACCCTCACCAACGATTCTCATCGATGACCCTTCACCAATGACCTTCATCAATGACCCTCACCAATGACCCTCACTGATGACCGATCACCCTCACCAATGACGCTCACCGAGGACCGTCACTGATGTCCTTCACCAATGACTCTCACCAATGACCCTCACCCATGACCCTCACTGATGACCGATGACCCTCACCAATGACGCTCACCGAGGACCCTCACTGATGACCTTCACCAATGACTCTCACCAATGACTCTCACCCATGACCCTCACTGATGACCGATGACCCTCTCCAATGACGCTCACCGAGGACCCTCACTGATGACCTTCACCAATGACTCTCACCAATGACTCTCACCCATGACCCTCACTGATGACCGATGACCCTCTCCAATGACGCTCACCGAGGACCCTCACTGATGACCTTCACCAATGACTCTCACCAATGACCCTTCACCGCTGACCTTCACTGATGACCCTCACCAATGATTCTCATCGATGACCCTTCACCAAAGACCTTCATCAATGACCCTCACCAGTGACCCTCACTGATGACCGATGACTCTCACCGATGACTCTCACCAATGACCCTTCACCGATGACCTTCACCAATGATTCACCAATGCCCTCACCAATGACCCTTCACCGATGACCTTCACCAATGACCCTCACCAATGACCTTCACTGATGACCTTTCACTGATGACCTTCACCAATGACCCTCACCAACAACCTTCACCAATGACTCAAATCTCTGGTCATCAATGACCGCCTCCACCCTGGGCGCCTCTCTCCTATCGGCCTCTCAGCGTCCAGCGCCTTCTGGACACAGACCGTCCACCCTCCCCACCAGGAGAGTGTCTGACTCCACAGGTCTGGCCGGGCCCCTACAACCTGCGTGTCTGCCACGTCCCAAGTGCAGGCCATGGCCGCCGGTCTGGGAACACACCTGCAGAGCCACGGCGCGCGCAACCTGGAGGCGCCTTCTCGTACAGCCCATGCCCCTGGCTCACTCCGATTCAGGTGGGCGTCCCGCCTGGGCCCCTCACGGGGGGCAGTCCAGCCACGCCCACGGCTCACAGCTTCCCACACCCGACACCCACCCGACCACACAGCGAGGCAGGTGGGGGGGCCACTGCACTGGCCACAGAGCTACACTTCACAGAGCTCAACGTGAGCGGCGCCCCACCCCGATCGGGAGCGACTCAGCGTGGCCACGTCCCCGGCCCCTCCCTGGGACTCCCCCGGGTGGGAGTCAAGCTGTTTCCCCCACACAGCCACCGGCAGGGCTCGGGGACCTGCTTCTTCCCAGGACGCATTCAGAGCCACATGAGGCTGGACTGGCCCTGGGGCTGGGACCAGTTCCCACAGGGGGTATCTGCGTGTCTGGGGGTGTGGGTATAGCCCCGCTACTGTCCCCCAGCTCAGGCCGGCTCCGCCTGCTGCGTGAGGGGATCCGATCCCCTTAACAATGAGCTTGGCTCAGCAGGTGGCCAGGAGCCCCCGCCCCCAC